ACAAGTCCTCACCAGTCCATAATACATTATAGGAACAACAGTCGACTATGGAGGAGTTGATGTCGTCGGGAGAGTGAAAAATAGATCAACTCACCCGAAGTTCAACTATAAACCATTGAGAATTGTAAGGAAGAAGAGGTGCTGGGACCTGAGAAAAAGAACAACTCAAGCGATTTCAACACAAGTGGAGTCGACTGTATATTATATATAATAAGGAAAGTACAAATGTACAAATTAGGACATTCTTAATTCCGACGTCTTGCAAGACTCAACCCATCAATAAATCAATCTGTATTTCATAAGTACATGAGTGAGTACACTTTAGAAGGCTGAATATTTCATCGCTGTTTGCAAGTAAATTTTAAGTCCAAATTTTGAGAATTTTATTTCTACATTCAAAGCTCTGTAGAGATCAAAGATGCACCTTTTCAGCAGTTTGATGCTACGGTCAAGACTTACAAATTTCTTGCTTTTTATGACTCCTGACTGATAACCATCTTGTTTAGTGAGTGTACTTACGACCTTAGAGCATGCATCAAAATAACATTGAGTGTGTATCTAGCTTACGATTATTATTGTTTATATTGCTGCTCATTTATATTATGTATGTGATTGTAAGCCTACTTGTGTGTGCATGTGCGTGCACGTGTGTACGTGTGTGTGTTTGTGTGTGTGTGTGCATGTGCGTGCACGTGTGTGTGTTTGTGTGTGTGTGTGTGTGTGTGTGTGTGTGTGTGTGTACTCGTGGTGGAGTGTGTGTGTACTCGTGGTGGAACACCAAACCAATGTGCCAGGATCTGGACAATAAAGATGTATCTTATCTTATCTTATCTATAGGAACAACACAATAAAAACTACATTTTTGTCTCTGGTGTAAAAAGTAGGCCTACATGTACCCAATTGACTTAAGTGGACACCGATAATTTGGTCCCCACAGAAACTGAAGTTCATCATGGAAAACAAGATAACATAGATCTAAATAAAAGGAAATAAGTCTACGTTGTTTTCTTTTTTTTTCTTCCAGGAGGAAAGGCTGATGGCATCAGTGCCAGTGGTTAAGTGCAGAAGAATTTTGTTCGTTTGTTTTAGTAAGTGTTTTACGGCACTCGCAACACAATAAGGTCATATAAGTGCCGAAGATTAGAGGTGTTACAAGAGAGTAACAATCACACAAAAGAAGGAGGGGAGATGAAGACGGTAGATGTTGGATAGGAAAGAAGAAGCAAACTACACCAGAGCACCCGCCAACCACCCATGCAGAAGAATTTGGAGCAATACCCAGCAAAACGACCAGTGTCTGTGTTGTAGTTGTAGCAAATAGACACTTTGCCATCGCACACAGGAAACCTGTGCTCAGTTCCAGTGCAGGGGGACTTTTTATTGAGTATTGTAGTGGTATCTTGGCCTTTCTTGGGGATGTTGTATCCCTTTCAGTTTCAGCCCAGATTGCCCCTGACAGGCAGGGTTGTAGCCCGCCTCCTAAATGATCTAAATTGGGTTGATTGGGGTGTAAAAGCAGATTGTTAAAACACACACCCATAGAAAAAAAAGAGGGGGGGGGGGGGGGAGAGAGTGAGTTTGTTTTAGTAAGAGTTTAGTTTTGTTAGTTTTAGTACAGGTTTTATGGTGCTTGCAACTGCGTAAGGTCATAAGAGCGCCAGAAGACTAGAGGTGTTATAAGAGAGTAACAGTAACAAACATAAAAAAGAAGAAGGAAAGATAAGGATGATATATATTTGATAGGAAAGAAGAAGCAAACCACACCGGAGCACCCGCCAACCACCCAGAGTAAGTTTTACGGCACACGCAACACAATACGGTCAAATAAGAGCCAAAGATCAGAGATGTTACAAGAGACTTCTTACAAACAAACAAAAAAGGCGGGGAGATAGGGACGACAGATTTTGATAAAAGGAAAGAAGGAGCAACAAACCACATCAGAACGTTTGCCAACCACTCAAAGAGAGAGTGAAGAGACGAAAAAGAGCTCAACTTTTGAGTACGGAGAAGCAGGCCCAATGCAATAACTGTTATTTTGAGCAGGGAAAGAGGAAGACAGACAAAAACCAATAGAAGGAAAGAAACAAAGTAAGATTCACCACTGGTGTCCTCCAACCGTCCACAGAAGTCAACTTTCTGTTAGTTTTAGTAGAGGTTTTGTGGCGCTCGCAACTGCATAAGATCATATGAGCGCCAGAAGATTAGAGGTGTTACAAGAGAGTAACAAACATAAAAAAGAAGAAGTGGAGATAAGGACGATACATGCTTGATAGGAAAGAAGAAGCAAACCACACCAGAGCACCTGCCAACCACCCACTCTGCACTCTCCAACATTGCAGATTTTCGAATAAATTTTATACAGATGCAATGGAGACCAAACTAGTATAAAAAAAACCCAGAAGCGTCACCGACAATGATCAATGATTAGTTCATTTTATATATCATTATTATATACAAACAATGGCTGACTGCTAAATGACAACAGCTATGTTATACATATTAATAGCCTGATACTAAAAAAGAATGTTTTGACAGAAATAATCACAGGTGCTTGTTAAGTCAATCATTATAAATCACACTTCTGGTTACTGACTCTTCATATATCCATTTCTCCATCGTTGATGTGCCCGCACTCTCACACAAAATCTGTACCATACAACAAAGGACATCTTTTCAATCTCTCATTCTGAATTTTCCTTTTTTTTAGGATGTTGCTTCCCACACCTTCACCATCACACACACATACACACAGAGCCACACCCAGAAGTTCCTGTCAACATGTGCATCCAGGCCATAAGTATGCTCAATACGGGTACGGAAAATACAGGGTGTAGCAAATCATTCTGTCTGCACAACGGGACCAACTCATACAAAGACGTGTGTGCCACTCACAGAGCTAGAGTTGTGACCTACAGTCTAGCAGCGCCCAGATCTCTGAAACCACAAGGAATGGCAGACAGTTAGGAGGGGACCGCTGAACAGCCTGGCTTTGTGTGGCTAACATAAGTCCCTGTTTGGTTTTAGGAAGTTTTACAGAACTTGCCACACAAATAGGTCATGTAAGTGTAAGTTCAGTTTTAGTAAGAGTTTTATGGCATTTGCAACACAATAAGTATAAGGTCGTATAAGTGCCGAAGATTAGAGGTGTTACAAGTGAGTAACAATAATTTTTTAAAAAGGAGGAGAGATAAAGACGATAGTTGTTTGATAGGAAAGAAGGAGCAAACCACACCAGAGCACCCGCCACCCTCCCACTCTAACTTAGCTTAGTGTCAAGTGCCGAAGATTAGAGGTGTGCTAGAGAATAACATACAAAGAAAAAGGAGGAGAGATATAAGGACAATAGACGTTTAATAGGAAAGAAAGAGCAGACATCAGAGCACCCACTGATCATGTACTGCTTACTCTTTATCTATCCTCCACCATACGTCGGAATTAAAGATATATAAGTAAGTTTAGTTTGAGTGAAGAGAAGCAAATTCACAAGATAACAGCCACTAAGCGCTGGGGCAAAGAAAGACAGATAGGCAGAAACAGTAGAGAAAAAGTGAAAGAAGTAAGATTTCCAAATGGAATCCTCCAAGTACCTGTCAAGATAGTAATGAAGAGGGACTCTGAAGATGGTCAAAGGATCAACCACTGCAAACACCCCATGGGGCTGTCAACTATGCCAAACCATAATAGTAATAAAACCATTGCCATCAGCCAAAGTACAGTCGAACCTGCTCTAAAAAACCCTGTCCAAGAAAATCACCTGTACAAATAATCACTAACCACTTCTCTGCCCGTTTATTTTTTAAAAATTAATAATAACACAGTACAAGACATCCTTCAGTCCAAGACAGTCACTTTTTTTCTTTTACAATGGATGGCAGTCTTAGAAAATTTCGACCGCACGTTGTGCTGTGGTGGTGAATGGATGAATAGAAAGTATGGCGGTCCTGGATCAGAACTGGTCAAACCATCACAAGGCGCAAACAAGCCTCTTGGTACAACTGACAAATCCCCCATCTTTCCAAACTATTTGTTATTTCAGTTCTTTCTTTTTCTTTTTTTTTTTTTCAAGCAACAAAAAGCATTGTTTCAGTTTTAGTTATAGTTATTGTAAGAGTTTTTCAGAACTTGCAACAAAAACAGGTCATATAAATGTTGAAGATTAGTTACAGGTGTAACTAGAGAGTAATATATGCAAAGAGCAAACCACATCAGAACACCTGCCAACCACCCACATTATTTCAGCGTGTGTTCTTTAAAATGAAGACAAAATAAACCAAACACAAGATACATGACGAAAAGAATACTGTGCAAAAATACAACAAGAGGCCAGTTGCTCGTTTTTGTTTGGGAAGGGAACATTTATTCTGTCTCCAAGACACAGAACAACAACAATCCAACAACATGATGGCGAGAGTGGAATGACATAATAGTGAGTTTCTTTTGACATTTGCCTCCAAACAATGAGCGACAAGGACAGGAGCAAGGGAGAAAAAATCATTTCTGAGTTGTCAACATAAACTTAACAATCCTGTATCGATCTCCCAAGTTATATATACTGTCATGTAACTAGAGCAAACAAAGTTGCTGAAGCTTATTGCTTGAAGTCCACACTCTTGGCCCGATTAACACAAACAAGTAGACTAACATCAATCATGGACAAGTGTATACTAGTGCAAAAACAACAAAACAGACTCGTAAAGAAAGGAAACATTCTAACAAGTAAAAAGCTCCATGTAAATTACAATAATAGATGTGTGCACTGTGGTGTGTTATGTTAAAACATAAGATACGGAGATACATCACAAGTTTACTCTAATCAATATAGAGAGAGATCCGTCCCAGGTGAGAAACATTTTTGCTCTGCAAAGTTGAAGAAATGAACTGCAAACTTTTTAATATCTAAATGCCCAAGACATATCTCTACAACTGTCTTCTCCGCGCTGGACATAACTATGCAACAGTCTTCTCCTTAAAATATACAGCAACAAAAATTCCTGTTTCTATTCTGGGGAAACAATTTTTTTATAGCAAAATACAAAAACAATAAATCGTGTTTACTTGGTGATACCAATCACACCGCAGGCCACACGAGGACCAGCATTGCCCGTCTTCAGACTTTCCTCATTGCCTCCTTTGCCAAGGTCATCCTCCTTCTCGTGCACCTGGGGACAAACAAAATAGAATTGAAAAATCGACCTCTACTGAATCAACTGACTACTTTAAAAAGTTTTAGTAAGAACTATACAGCATTTGCAACACAATTAGGTTATATAAGTGTTGAAGATTGGAGGTGTCACTGAAGAGTTGCATACAAAGAAAAGGAGGAGTTTTTGTAAGAATTTTATTTCACCTGCAACAAATAGATGGTCGGTCATATAAAAGTGCTGCAGATTAGAGATGCTGCTACTGTGGACAAACATCAATCTATCACTGGAAACAAGAAAAAGAGTACTGAAAAGTTACATCGAGCCAATCTTATTACAGTGGGTGTCGCATTCAACAAGGTTGCCGGGACTGGTTTGTTGTCCTCGTTGAATCCGACCTCTCGTTGAACGTGACAAAGGCTAAAGTAAAGAAAGGAGACAAGTTATTACACTACACGATGAACCAACACCAGTAATTAAAACAGTTGTTCCCCCTGATGGCGAAAATCTCAAACAGCATCAGGGTGCGCGAGTTTGAGCCGTGTTCTGTTCATCAATTTCAGCATTTTTTTTTCTTTTCTCCTCGGAACACTTCCCGTGTCGAAACATACCCTCTCACATCTAGACCTAGATATCTACATAAAGTAAAGGCGGGAACTTGGATTTTCTGATCAGGGGAAGAAAAGAAAATTGAAAAAAAAAATGGTTTCGATCTAGACATACCGATCCAGAGTTCATCCAGTTTCACACAGCCCACATCGCTTTCCCACCCACCCCCTCCTATCCCTCCCATAGGCTAACCCTCGCCCATCCGCCTCTTGGCTTTGGGGCCCATATTAGGACGCACACTAGATCTAACAATTCAATGTGCTAGGAATCGAGGATGAGTCTTGTGCTTCGCGTGAGATTGAGAGAAAGGAGAAAAATTCTTCGCTTTTAGGGACGTTAATTGCCTTTATTTGGTTATCGCGACCTCATTGAAAGCGACTTCGGTCTGTTTGTAACCTCGTTAGAGTTGACGTACATTCACAAAGAGATATATAGAAGAAAAAATCGGGGATTAAGGATTGCCTCGTCGGAGCCGGCTTCTCATTGAATGTGACCTCGTTGAATGCGACACCCACTGTATATGGGTGCAAAGCATGGACAATCAATAAACAGCTGAAGAGAACAATTGAGGCGACAGAGTTGTGGTTCATAAGACATATGCCGAGTATCCCGTGGACAGCTAGATAAACAAATGAAAAAGTCTTCGTTGAAGCAAATTGCAGATGACAGCTCATGACGAATATATATGAAAGCAACAGGCAAATTTAATTGGACACACAATGCGGAAAGAAGCATTGGAGAATATGGTAACAACAGGCAAGTTTGATGGAAAGAGAGGAAGAGATAGACAGAGGGAAAAGATACTGGACAAGTTGACAACATGGCTGGGAGCAGCAAGAACAACAGACACCATTGCAGCAACGCAAAACAGATGGAATTGGAGGTCCATGATTGCCCACGCCAGTCGGCAAGGCACCGGATGAGGATGATGAATACTAGGGAGTAACATACAAAGAAAAGGAGCAAAGATAGTGGATGATAGATGTCTGATAACAATCAAGGAGTAAAACACACCAGAGCAAGCGCAATGTATTGTCTATGTTTTGCTACCTTGTTAAGCATTCAGAGCCTTATTTCTTAATGGGGTCTAGCGGATAACTTTTGGCCAATTTTCGATGAAATTATTGATTTTGTGGAAAGCAGCTTTTAAACACCTTTCATCATTGCTGAATCAGATTTTTTGGTCCATTTAGTTTAAAAATTGATCAAATGGGTGAAAATATGTCTCAAACGATCTCACCCCAAACCCCTTCCCCCTTGCAAAAACGATCACTTGGCCACTTTTCCTCTCTTTAAAAAAAAAAAACATTTTGTGTCTTCTAGGTTCACTAAACTTCTAGTTGGGAGGTTATTTGTAACTGTATGGAAATAACATTTTGCATGTGATAAGAAATAATAGTGCATGAGGTACTGGAACCACAAGAAGGAACTAACCCTCAAATTACACAGTGACATTCTTAAATGCGTTTTTCTCATAACTTTATTTATCAAAGAACTATGTCACTAGAATCCTAAAATCTCAGCTACTAATCAAGATACCGTGCTGAGACTTTTGACACATGTGCAGAGATAGTTGTTACAGGTCACCGACTAGATTTTTGTTTGCAAAAATAGTTAATGCCTGAGAAATCTACTTCTGAAGATCATTTTACTCTCAACATTTCAACCCAAAACAGTTAATAAAAAGTACCTCACTTTGAAAGTCTTAGAAAATCCAGAATATCGGAATTATCTTTTAAAACATCAATCAGCTACCTATACTATTTCTACTAAATTGATATTTGTTTAAAAAAACATTATACCTTTCGGTTTCCAAATTTTAGGATGTTTTAAAGTAATAAAGTGCATGTTCGACTGTATAATATCTCCCTAGTTAACTTTGTCACAGCGGAACCATATCTTACCACCAAGCTACGACCAACGATGGAATTCTCTCCAATGAGGGGAACTTGAGGGTCTTTGATTTCAACTTTGGCAACTCCATCATCCCCAGCAATGATGTTCCCCAGGTCCCCAGCATGTCTGAAATGGGAAAGCATCCACGTTACAGAAAAATAAAACAGTAAACTAATGTAAACAAGTTATTTAAATGAGGTAAGTCTTGAATTTTAGTTAGAGTTTTATGACATTTGCAACACAAATAGGTCATCGTGGGCAGTATTGCATACAGACGTAAGTCATTTTTGGCAGCCTTTGAGATAATTCTGTATGCAATACTGCCCACGTAATTGCTGAAGATTAGAGGTATCACTTGATAGTTGGCCTAATGTGCAAAAAAAGAAACGAGGAAGGATTAGGACCATTGATGTTTGATAGGAAAGAAGGAGCAAACTTCACCAGATCACCCACCCACCACCCTTCAAGTGCATAAAAGTAAGTTCCTTGATAAATGCAGCCAGAAGGAGCAACACAATCTGATTCCATAACTGATAACATGTGGACATCTTTAATGAAGGAGAAGTGAACAAGCTAAAAGAGAGGATGGGATGAAGAAAATGTTCAGCTTTAGTAAATGTATTACAGCACTTACAAATTAATTTCATAGGAAAGAAAAAGCAAACCAAACAAGAGCACCCACCAACCATCCGGGGGGGTGTGAATACCGGGATAAACACTAGACCTTGTGGATGACAAATATCCACACACTTGAAGAAACGTTATACTAGATGATCAGTATGCATGCATGAGAGCTCTCTGATGAGCTGATTACAACTGCTGAATGTTTTTTCAATTGGTTCTATCCCTTGCTCCTCTCACTTGGTGAAAAAGTTCAATTGTTTTATGACAGCTAACCCCTTCACTTTGCCTTCTTTTTTATGCAGGTTGCTACTACAAGCTGTTTTATGTAATTTCAATATGCCATCATATCATTGCAACAAAAACTTTTTACGGTTACTTACTCAGTAGCCTGAAGCCCCTGGTTCTCACTGCACCCACAACAAAAATCTTTCACCAGCAAATATGATATATCATGTCATAAAAAAACCCCACCTTCATCTTCCCTCGGGAAGCAGTATGTCTATGCATAACCAAAAAAAGGACTCTACCCAAGCAATGTGTTAACTCTTTATCTTCGAGGGGCGGTAAACCACTACGCCAGGGCCCTTTTTTGGTACTAAATTTAAAAATGACGAAAAAGTCACTTAGACCTGCTTGTGAGCCTCAAAAAGATTGTCTGAAAATTTTGCGCACCCCCCCAATAACTTAGCTTTTAAATTTGTGGGTGTCATAAAAGGAAGGCTTTCCGAGTAACGAGCGGCCACCCCAACAAATATAATAAAAGAGACCTAACCCTAACCCAAACCCTACCCCTAGGCCTACCCCCAAAAACAACCTGCTACGGTCCTCATGTAAAAAGGCCAGCACAAGTCCCCCCCCCCCCCCCCCCCCGCCCCAAAAAAGAAAAAAAGCACACTCCAAAACAAACAAGGAGCATAATATATAGGGCCTTCATTGCCTTATTAATAATAGGGTTTGATACAATAATACAATAAAATTGGAAATGAATCCTCCATATAGTTATAAGATCTAGTAATCTAAATAAATCTAGATCTAGAATCTAGATCTAGATCTAGTAGAACAAATGAATAGGAATAGGCCTTACGAGAAATCCGCATCCGATTCTGAACAGAGGGACTCAGCTGAGTCTCGAGATCTAGAATTCTAGATTCTAAGTAAATAATTCAAGGACCTGATGAAATGCATTTTACCAACATTAATATTACAATATTACAGCACAACCTATAATAAAATTGGAATATGAATCCTCCATTGAGGTCTATAATGATCTATAAATCTAGATCTAGAGTGGAACAAGTGAGTCGAACTTGAATGAATCCACATGATCTTAACTATCAGTAAACAAACGAAATTCAAAATGGCAACTCGAGCACGAAACTGAAAGTAGATAATTTAGGTCGTCGCACTTTTCGTATTCGTATTTCTACTCAGGTTCCGACAATTATGTCAGAAACGCCGACGACGGCAGTCGGCACGACAACGAAAGTGCCGACAAAGCCGACGGGAGAAAAAGGGGGTGCTGGCAGTCAGCCAGGCCTCGCACTTCGCACATTGACTAATACAGGTGGGCCTAGCGATACCATAGGCCGGCTCACGGGTCGGATCGCGATTGTCGGATTTCAGACGATAGTCGGCAAACATGCAGGTCTAATTACTAAATGGATCATTAAATCGAAACTATTTTGATAGAACTTCATCTGATGAATGAACTTCCGGTAAAAGAAACCTGTTTTCCACAATTGCCGAAAAGTAATTAGATGCCGAAGTCGTCCAAAAGGAATGTGCACGAGCCGCTGTCAGCAGCTCAGCAGTTCCGACCGCGAGCCGCTGGGAGCGGCTTGCCGGAGATAAAGAGTTAAGATCGTGGGCATTGGCCAAATATCCCCCTCCTAACCCTTCATAAACACTTTTCTACATTCAATAAATTCAAAGCAGATCTGCAACAAAAATGTGATAAATGGTGAGGGCCGTGTCTCGAATTGACCTTTGAGCTTCACTCTCATTATTTACAAATCCCGTCTCAAAAGTTCATGATTTTTCTAAAAAATATTGACAAGTCCATGAGGAGCTATACTAGACAACAGAGAGTACGTATTTTCCAACACAAAAAAACTGACCTCTGTACAAAGATCCCCAAAAATGTATTAAATTCATGCTTCACGTACTGGTTGAAAATTATTATATTAAGTGTCTATGGATCATATTTCATCATCGAATAATCAGGTAAGCCAACCAGAAGTACAGCAAATTATCGTTTTCATGATATGTGATATCCTACTTGTACTATTTATTTGTGGCGGCCGAATTTTGCTATTCAAAAGGCTTTTTAATGGCTGCATCGATCGACATGCGGTTTTCGCCCAAAAATTCTTTAAAAAATTCTCAAGATCATGACGCCCTTGGTTTTTTTTTGTTTTGAGACGTTTTGCTGCAAAAAACTAAATTTCTTTTATTTCGCCGATCGCTTTTGTAGGCCGACGCTTCTGTCTCTGTAATTTTAGAAAATCCGGAAGTGATATTTTGCGAGGCGCATTTTGTTTTGGGAGTATAGATCTAGACCTTCTAATTTTTGCATGTCTCAAGATTTATTTCCCCCACTCCAGTAGAGTGTTAATATAGTAGGCCAATGACTGTTAGTTGATATTAAAGCATCGATCTTTCCTTTCATTGAAAGGGGGCCCTGCTAGTAACTTTTTAATAAATCTTAGCCATTACAAGAAACTTGAACTTTGAATTGATATTTCCTACACAACACAGAAGCACTGAATTAACATAGAGATCATGTCAAACAGAAAATTCCCAAATACAATACCTCACTGCATCATCTGGACCTCCGTGAGTTGCGCCAAGTGGGTTGAAATGTCCACCAGCACTCATGCACCCTGAGTGAAAAATATAATGTTTCAATTGAAAGCCAGCTTAAATCTGAAAACAAAATCTTACAATAATAAATAGTTACAGATTAGGCTAATAATAAGACACTACAGTTTAGGACGCACACAGCGAATGGATTTCCCCAAGTCACAGATTTTTTATTTGCACGTACATATTTGTGCGTACATGTATTTAAAACACAAACATAGTGAAATTCGCTCATAACAAATAGATTTCCACATCCTGCTGATTTCGCTTTATGCCTGCTAGACTAAAATACAGAAACTTGTGCAAAGGGCTTGGTGATTTTAAAGGCATGTTGGACTGAAAGGGCTGCTACTTCCAACATGTTTGTGTGCTATCCAAATATTTGTTCCTTATTACATGTGGCAGATATTGCTACTATACAAATCTACAAAAAGTATCCACATTATATTAAATTAATTTTGCTCTCTAATGGCAACCCCCCCCCCTTTACGCATGTATATGAATTCAACAAAAACAGTGGTAAGAGATTTTCCGTCACCTGAATCATTTCTTCTCCAGTGCATAGCAACAACTTCAGACTTTTCTTTTTTCTTCTCGATCGCATCACCACACTTTATTAAGTTCTGGTATTTATCATACACTCTATCATCCTGCTCAGTTCTTCCGTTGACCAAAGCAGCTTCCCCTGTAGTGTTAACGGGGTTGCTTCCTCAGTAGTGTTAAGTGGGGTTGGTTATGTTTTCAGTCTCAGGGCTCTGTGTGTCCTGTTCAGCAGGAGGATGTGTTCAACAGTCTGGTCCACCTCTCCACACTGGCATTTTGATGATTGTAGTTAGTTTAATGCTTTGCAGTCACACAGCCAGAATTACAAAATACCCCATCTGGTCACCCAGCCGGGAGAGTGACTGCAAGGGGCTTCTCAGGTCCAGGGCTGCCAACCTATCTCCATGGTATTTAGTAATGACCATGAAGAAAATTAGTAATTTCCCATAAAAATTAGAAATAGTGCTCTTATTTTCAAATTACTATGTTACAACTAACAAAAATATGTCTTAATTACGGAAAAATAGGTCCACGCATCTCTCGCATTCTTGACCTCAACAATTTAATTCTTTCAAATGTCTGAACGGAGCAAACAAGAGATTCTGGCGGAAGCATTGAGATGGGTGAACCGAGCGGGAAGAAGGCACACCATCTCACATCGCGTGCCGGCCGATCGCTACAATCTAATTTTAGGCAGCTTGGGTTTCAGCAGCGTGGTAGCGATGCTTCTACTAGTGTATGATATTATTTAGGGCAAGGCTAACTCGCACGAGGGGGGCCAGCTGTTCCTTTTTTTTCTTATTTTAGGGGGCGGGGGTTGATTTACAGATTGGCGGTTTTGTGACTATAGGCGGACGATTTACAGGTCTGCACTAAGACTTGTAAAATTAAAAAAAGAGCCAAAAATATTTTCTTTTTAGCCAAAAATCTGCTGATGGTAAAAATCGTAATAAATCGCCTTATGATCGGAATTTCTTAGTGATGCTAAAAATCGTAATGATTACGAAAAAATTGAAAAGGTTGGAAGCCCTGCGGGCCTGTCGCAAAACTGCGTCAAGCGACGGAACAAATTATTTTCACCATCTCATTATTGCGGCAAGTGACTGCAAAGTGTTAAGACATACATGAGGCGTTGCTTGAGTCCTGTATGTTGTAACGATTTCAGTGTATAAGCATAAATAAAGATTTGATGTGAGCCAAGAGCAGATGAAATCAAGAGATCTTACCATTTGTGTAATCTCCAAACTGATGAATGTGGAAACCATGCTTGCCTGGGGCCAATCCCTTAACTTCACCCGTGACAATAGTGCTGTCAGCTGGACCCTAGAAGGTAAAATCATGAATTAAAACAGCTGGTAGCTAAACACAGAATTCTTTATTCCTTTTCTTTATAGAGTTGCGCATCAGTAAGAGTTTTTTTCACGGCACTTGCAATACAAAAATAGATCATGTGCTGAAGATTAGAGGTGATACTAGAGAGTAACGTACGAAGGAAAGGAGAAGAGTAAGGATGATAGATGTTTGACAGTCAAAGAATAAAAGCAAACCACCCCACCAGAGCATCTACCAACCACTCATTTGTTTTTCTTGAGACTGGGATGCAATATACAGTGGGCCCCACTTAGGCGATCCAGGGCAATCCCCACCCTCCCCCCATTTACAGAATGAATCATTATCCTTCCTAAAAGTACAGACAATCTAACTCTACACTATCGCTATGTAGTATTTTGTTCAAGAATGTTTTAACTTGCAAAACCTGTCTACAGTATTAACTACAACCTCCCTATCTGTGAATGATTATTATAATGTGTCTTGATATGTGACTTTTGTAATCGTGAAGGTACGAAACCATGTCCTCAAGACCCCTACACATGACAAGCAGAGAGCATGGAGGCTGCCATCCAAGTTGTGCACAGTGGCCAAATGGGCAACACGAAAGCAACATAGACTTTTAATGTTTTTCGTAAAATTTACGGGACCAGGTCCGCAGCGGGTAGGCCTATTTTACCTCTTGAAGAGTGCTGGCCAGCTGTCACCATCTCATTCACCAGCATCGCCCGCCCAGCCATCACCATCTCCTTCACCATCTGCACTGCCCGCCCAGTCATCACCATCTCCTTCAACCAGCACTCCACAGCCATCACCATCTGCTTCACCAGCATCACCCGCCCAGCCATCACCATCTCCTTCAATCAGCACTGCACAGACGTCACCGTCTCCTTCAATCATCAGCAGTTAAAATCTGTTAACCACTCAATGACCAAAAATAGGAGTTCTCCCCTGGATCCTACCTAAAAATAGGAGCTTGGGGGGAAAACTGGAGCCTCCAGAACCCAGTAGATTAAAATTACGTTACAAATCGAAAGTAGCAAATAAACGTGTGAGGAAAATGCATGCAAGTAAACAGGCATATTTTCATGTTATTTCTATGACAAGTCACCAAAATATTGCAAAAAATACCCGTGTACATGGTATTTTCACATAATTCATGATAAGTTACGCATGACTGACGGAAACGGAATTTAATTACCGGCAAAATAATTTTTGCAACTCGCCAAAAACAAACAGAGGGCTCTGATTCTATCGGAGAACTTGGCACCAGGTCTGAGAAAGCACTGAGTCATCCAATGATCATTTAAATGGGTGCTCTTCTCTCACCTCTTGACTTTTGAAGGCATGCCAAACAAGTCTATTGAGACTCTTCATGAGGAGAATTTCCCCCTGAGGTTGGTGATGTTTTCCAGATTCTTTTTCTTCTATTCTATGAATCTATGGGGACATGTGTATACAGTATTTCTTACCATTTCGTCCCCTTTTCGAGGTCTATTGTATTTCATTTTCAGCCTTCCTTTTATGACTGTCAAGGGGGGGGGTGGAATTACCACATTTTACTCCAGAAAATTTCCTCATTTTTACATTTAACGCGATCTACTATACTAAATCTTGATTTTAACCCTCTGTTGTTGTTGTTGTCTTATGGGCGATGGTGTGAATGATGTGTAGCCAGGTCCATCACCCAAAATTATCCGACTCTAAATGTGGCATAAAAACTAGAATATATGTAAAATTGGGGGGTGGAACTGCCCTGGATCACCCTACATACAGTCTCAGTAATAACTGGGTTTTAGATTGGTTTTATCAGGGCTAAGGATAATGATAATGTATGTCCCAGCAGTCCTGTTATAACCAGGGCCCACAGTAAGCAAAACCATCTCATAAAAATTGTTATATCCTTTTAAACACTTTCCTATTACACACCCTGCCAAAACTGTTTGAAAAAAAAACGTAGTGAGAGGGTTCAACTTGACAGAGTCATAATACACACATTTCTCTATTGTCTCTCTCAATTACCTCATAGGTACACTTGGCAACTCTATACAAATAGATCGCTGACATTAAATAACCCTCACTTTCATCTAAGGGAAATTGAGTCACAGCCAGCATCAGTGTAAACAAATCTACCTTTAAGTTATCTTTAGACGTCAAAACTGAATTCTGGAATGGTTCATAGGGTTCACAGGAAGCTGAGCAAAAAGAGAGCTACTGTTGGTGAATAATTTGAGAAAGAAATAAGAAAGAAGGAAATGAAAAAAAACAGGAGAAGAACTCTCTCTTCCTCTCAAACTCAAATACAAACACACTCTTAGGTACACGACAGTATTATATATATTATAATACGGGGTGCCCACAACGGATGGGATCGGCCGATTGGGCCAATCGCCTGACTCAGTCGCCTAAAAAGCAAACGTGTTTCTTTTCACTTTCAGGCGATCGGCCCGACCCAGCCGTAGTGGGCACCCCGTATTAGTCTTAAAAGGGTTTGGAGTTAGGGCTAGGATTGCCTTGACTAGAGTTAAAGTTCTATTGGTAAGATTGAAGAATACCGGACCAGCGGATGGGACTACTTTTCTCGATCTCAACCTTAGGAATTAAAGATTTTCCCCAGTTTTCAGTTTTTAATACCTCTCAAGGAAGAATCTCGGACTCATAGAGATCTATTCATTAAAGGCTATTGTTAGGGGACCGTACGCCCCAATAGCGCTTGGCGCTAGGGGACCGTACGCCCCCATAGTGTTTGGCGCTAGGGGACCGTAC